CAGAAATTTAATTCTCATGTATTTTGATGTGTCGCATGATGTGTTTGACCCTAATCAGATGTTGGCCTCTTCCCCCGGGACACTCGGAATATGTCCAGATGTGGCCAAAGCGGTTCTTTGAACTAGATTTGAGTTCCATTGAACTAGTCATTAAATTCTCATGTAATTCTATGTGTCGCATGATGGGTTGGACCCTAATTAGATGTTGGCTTCTTCCCCCGGGACACCCGGAATATGTCCGGATCTGGTCGAAGCGGTTCTTGGAACTAAATTTGAGTTCCATTGAACCAGTAATAGAATTCTCATGTAATTTGATGTGTCGCATCATGGGTTTAACCCTAATCAGATGTTGGCTTCTTCCCCCGGGACAACCGTAATATGTCCGGATGTGGCCAAAGTGGTTCTTGGAACTAAATTTGAGTTCCATTGAACAGGTCATTGAATTCTCATGTAATTCGATGTGTCGCATGATGGGTTTGACTCTAATTATATGTTGGCTTCTTCCCCCGGGACACCCGGAATATGTCCGGATGTGGCCAAAGTGGTTCTTGGAACTAAATTTAAGTTCCATTGAACTAGTCATTAAATTCTCATGTAATTCGATGTGTCGCATGATAGGTTTGACTCTAATTAGATGTTGGCTTCTTCCCCCGGGACACCCGGAATATGTCCGGATCTGGTCGAAGCGGTTCTTGGAACTAAATTTGAGTTCCATTGAACCAGTCATAGAATTCTCATGTAATTTGATGTGTCGCATCATGGGTTTAACCCTAATCAGATGTTGGCTTCTTCCCCCAGGACAACCGTAATATGTCCGGATGTGGCCAAAGTGGTTCTTGGAACTAAATTTGAGTTCCATTGAACAGGTCGTTGAATTCTCATGTAATTCGATGTGTCGCATGATGGGTTTGACTCTAATTAGATGTTGGCTTCTTCCCCCGGGACACCCGGAATATGTCCGGATGTGGCCAAAGTGGTTCTTGGAACTAAATTTACGTTCCATTGAACTAGTCATCAAATTCTCATGTAATTCGATGTGTCGCATGATGGGTTTGACCCTAATTAAATGTTGGCTTCTTCCCCCGGGACACCCGGAATATGTCCGGATGTGGCCAAAGTGGTTCTTGGAACTAAATTTGAGTTCCATTGAACTAGTCATTGAATTCTCATGTAATTCGATGTGTCGCATGATGGGTTTGACCCTAATTAGATGTTGGTTTCTTCCCCCGGGACATCCGGAATATGTCCGGATGTGGCCAAAGCGGTTCTTGGAACTAAATTTGAGTTCCATTGAACCAGTCATAGAATTCTCATGTAATTCGATGTGTCGCATGATGGGTTTGACTCTAATTAGATGTTGGCTTCTTCCCCCGGGACACCCGGAATATGTCCGGATGTGGCCAAAGTGGTTCTTGGAACTAAATTTAAGTTCCATTGAACTAGTCATCAAATTCTCATGTAATTCGATGTGTCGCATGATGGGTTTGACCCTAATTAAATGTTGGCTTCTTCCCCCGGGACACCCGGAATATGTCCGGATGTGGCCAAAGTGGTTCTTGGAACTAAATTTGAGTTCTATTGAACCATTCATAGAATTCTCATGTAATTCGATGTGTCGCATCATGGGGTTAAACCTAATAAAATCTAATCAGTTACTGGATGCTTCCCCCAGGGCACCCAGGATGGGCCTGAACCTGAATGATGAGGCATCCCTGGGAATATCGTCTGATTTTGGGTAGATTGTAAGTTTGTTTGTTATTATTGTTAGTTTAAGATATGTATATGCAAAAAAATCAAATATTTTAGTTATAAGAATTATTTTTGTATGTATGTTTAAAGGAATTTTAAATAAAGTCATTTGAAGGGTTCAACATTATTTACTTTTTATTATTAAAATCGCAAAAAGAAAGAAAATGGTGGTGCACAAACTACAGCCGCCGGGTAGTGCGCCGGGGCGGACAAAAGGCGACCAAAGCGGCTAAAACGATCAGTTTTTTGACAGGTATCGTTTTCGCCTCAGGCGCCCAAATGTTGCAAATATGGTCGCCCCCGGCGCGCCGGCGACCAAAATTGGACCAAGCGGCGCCGCGAGGTTCGAGTCGCCCAAGTCCGCCCCGTCCGCCGAGCGGTCCGGGGGCGAGCCGTGGGCGACTAGCCCGCTGTATGTGGGATAGGCTGTATTGCAATGAGCACTCATACACGCAGAAAAAAATATTTTAAACGTAATAATATTTGACGTAAAATGAATAAGAATTTCATTTTGTTTTGGCTGCAAAATAAATCATTATTGTTTCAACAATCCAGTATTTTTGTTCCTCAAAACCCATGGATTGTTAAATCAAAAAGAAAATCTTTTCGAATTTACAAGAGCTTTCATGGTTTTGACGTAAGCTGTCAAATTTGGCAGCTGGGTCAACAATAAAAATATGTTTGTTTTTAAAAGAGATTTCTTGTTGATTCAATCATATTTATTTTATGAAGTCTGACAATTCACGCAGTAGAAATAAAAATATGTTTATTGATTCAAAAAATAATATGGCATTTTTTTTATGTTTTGTTTTCTTTTTCACTGATCATCCTTCGGAAGGGAAGTAAAGCCGTTGGTCCCCGGTTAATTAGTTGATGGGTCGATATGTAGGGTCCAGGTGTGGGAGCTGCCTTCCTGGCGTCAGGAGCATTGGTACTCAGTACGGAAAACAAGATCGACGAAAAAAAAATCAAGGAAAAAAACAGAAAATTGATTATATTTAGCAACTGCAGCTTGAACTGCAGTATACTTACTTAAGATTTTCGGAAATTTTGCTCTTATTTCCCGAAATTCACAAGTTTTGTTATTGTTTACACTTTTGTCCGGGTGAAAACGAGGGAATGGTTGGTAGTTATTTTTGCATTCATTGCCCGGGGAATGGACACAGCAAATAAATGCTAAATTGAAATGAACTATTGTTGGATTAATACAAGAGCAAATTTTCATTATGTCGTAAGTAACATTCGCACCGATCCGAGAAAAATAAAGTTTTGTTTTGATGACCGATAAGTTATTCCTATTTCCAATTAAACACATATAATCTCATAGTGATAGCAATGTTTAACATATTTAGCCGGGTTTTAATCATACAAATGCAAATCGCTAGCTTTCATGCTAAGAAATGCTGGTTTTTGAGTCAAAAGTTATTATACGTCGTTTGGTGGCCCCTATTGTTACTTAAGTCAAAGTGTATTTACCAGGATATTCGGGAGAATGATCAATTACGTCTCCTTACGTGCAGCCCATTCATCATTTTAGGACCACCGAAATCATCTTAGCAACAAACAGTTCGATTTATTCACTTTAATAATGAGAAAGCGAAACGACGAAAGTACACTTTTCACGGGTTTCTTAGTGCTGTTACTTAAGGCAAACGGCATCTCCATAGAAATCGGGTGACTTAAGTAACATCGAAAACTATTTTGATCGGAAGGTGATTACGTCAAAAAGCAATTCGACTGGTAAATAAATTTAAAAATGGGATGTGATCCTATATTCGGACAGTATATAGTGTAATAGCAGGAGCATCGATTGACACTGATAGCTCGACTTTGTTTACCTTTGTTACATTCGACGTAATGAAAATTTGCTCTTGAATAATAGAATATAGTTATTTTTACAATAGTTGCAGTTGAAAAGTGGCTTATTAAAACAAAAAGAATCCTACTTTGAATTTATATGAATAAGTATTATTGAAACAACAAAATGCAATATAATTTCAACCGGAATTGTTTGTTTAAATACAACTAAAGTTTTGTTTGGTTCAATGCAAACAATTTTCTGTCCGTGTACATCTAGTTTTTACTGGAAATCCTATGTATGAGTGCTCATTGCAAGACAGCCTATATTACGTGATATAGGCTGTAATGTGAACGGGGTATAACCATAGAGGTACGTACGTGGAAGCAAGGGAACTAGTACCAACGATCTTATCAAGTAACAAATACGAACTGTTAACGAACGCTGACGAATACCCTCGGGGCCAATCTAAAGTTAGGTACTCTTCTCTGAAATCTGTGAAAGGGAATCTAGTATTATGTAGAACAAAACGTCCAATGTAACACTCATTGATTATGTCATTGGGAATAATCGTCCCATGCATTAATTATGTCACGCTAAATCGAGCAAAAAATTACCCCCTCCCCCCTATCGTGACGTTTTTCCTATACCTAATGCCTTGCTTGTCACAAAATCTTAGACCTCCCTCCTATAGTCGCTATATTCATAGTCTGGCGGATAGAATTTCGATCTATCAAAAAGCGGAACCAATTCAATATATTTTAGACCAACAATTGAAAAGGTACTATCAACTTTTATTAACAAAACGTTGATTATTCTTTCCTCGCCAATCGAACGCAAATTACCGGCATCATCGAATAGGGGAAACTTTCCCCAACCCAAAGATGGTGGTAGTTTTCGTAGGCGAGCCTTGATTCACGAGAAAAGGGTTTCCGAAGTTTTGTTCGCAATAACTGTTGTGCTCTTTTCTGTTGTTGGTCGTGATTTGCTCGATTGATTCCGCTATTTGACAGCTCAATTGGTTCCCGAGATTCTATCCGCCAGACTATGAATATAGCGACTATACTCCCTCCCCCCTTAGTGCTTGACATAATATATGCAACAACCCCAATGTACAACTTGACTAGTCAAAACGTCTTATGTGGTTTTTTCTCTGTATTGTAGCATGAAATTCAAAGTAAATTGTGAGTTTTACATGGTTTTACCGTTTCTACTGAATCTTCATTATTATTATTCACTGACTACATTAAAATTAGTATTAATTGCAAACTGTATTGTTTCTAAACAGTTAAAATAATAATCTGTTGAACTTCAACTTCGATTTTCTCAAAATGGTGGATATGATACATTGGTCTATTTGAAAAGTGACGCGAGAAATACCTTTCATTGCGTGACCGTATTTTCGACTCTCCTCACATTACCGTTCAGCGCCGTGTTGTGTGTATAGTGTCTGGAAAGGTGGTTGACTACTAATAAAATGTGTCGCTGTAACTCTTGATTCTATAAATACTAAATCAGTGATTAATTTATGTTGTGTTGAGAAATCTTAAAATCCTCGTAAATTGATAGTTTTCCGGCAATATGGAAGTGAATTTAGATGAGTACGTGAAAGAGTGGACCGATCTGTCAAATGAGTACAAAAGTCTTGAGGTATTATTACACATCATAACGTATATGCTGCATAAATAACTTAATTCGTATTTATTATTCCAGACCACAAATTCAACCTATTTAGATTTACTGGAAAATTTAGAGCAACTACAGGAGCAATGTACGAAACAAATAAAACATCAACGTTATCGGATGCAGCAAATTTCCAAAAGCATAAAACTGTGAGTAGCCCAAATTTGCTGATTTATCGCCTCTTCAATTTGCTGATTAGATCGTCCCCTTGTTCGTTTACGAAATTGGGCATCAATCACTTGGGTTTAAGAAATAAGCATACACTGATAAGATAATTGTATCCGCTCAAGATTAAAAATTGTACTCACTGTAAACAGCTTTGAGAAAAGTCGCTTCAGAGTGATTTTCATGCAACCTTGAAGTTTTGGCTGCAATTAGAGGCAACATTATGTACACACCAAATTTAAATCAATGGAAATCAGCAAAATTTAGCTGATTTTGAACTTGGCGAAAGATCAGCAAACCTTCCAGCAAAATAATGTTGCTGAAACTTCCAGCAATTCGAACTTCTGCCAAAATGACAGCGTTTTACTGAATTTGCTGTTAGGGTAGAGAACTACTTCGGCCTAATCGCCCATTTTGGGCCTATCGAGCAGAAAACTTCTAATAAATCCATGATCTCAGAGTTAACAAGTCAATTATGCGTTTAGTACGATACTTTAGTTAATAAGCTACCGAACGAAGTCAATGAGAACGCGTAATATGACCGAATCAATTTTTATCTTCATCCGATAGGCCGAAGTGAATTCATTGGCGTTTCAATGGCGTTGCAATGTGTTAGGCCGACTTTATAATCCGTAGGCCGAGTTTGGCGTCAAGAAGCAGTGTTAGACTTTTGACAATATCTCAACGATTCGTTTCTCTTTATCAAATCTTACGGTACGTACGAAAAGGTAAATAAATTTGGAAGCCATCAGTAATAATAACATTTCGTTTGGTGCTAAACTGCGCTAGGTTAAGAAAGACTAAATGCGGTTTGTGCTTAATAGGCCGGAAATGGGGTAGTTAACCCTATGTATTGTTGAAGCTGCAGCACATATGTAAATGACAACGTTTAACTGATTTTCCAGCAAATTTCAACAAAATATTACTGAAACAACAGTAAATTTATTTATATCCGTTTCTACTGATTCTTCAGCAAGTTTCAGCTTCATAGTTTGGAACCAGCTGTCAAATTATTGTATTTTCTTTTTAATCATTTATTATGTATATTAATGACATGCGACGAGTTTTACGGTTTTGTGATATTAATCTTTTTGCTGACGATACTGTGTTATTCATTGCAGCTAAAGATTTAGAAGAAGCCGTTTCACGCTTGAATGAAGATTTGCGTTCTCTAAGTAGATGGTTGAAGTATTAACAATTGAAATTGAATATAAGTAAAACTAAATTCATGGTAATTTCGCGGAAGCGTGTAGATGATGATGTCTTTGTTGTTATTGATGATGAGACAATTGATCGCGTTCAGGAAACTAAATATCTTGGCGTGATTATTGATGACAAACTCAAGTTCAATTCTCATATTGACAATGTCATCAAGAAAATTGCCAAGAAGTATGGAATTCTATGTCGCTTGAAAAACGATTTAACTATTGGTAGTAAAATACAGTTATACAAATCAATCATCTCCCCTCATCTAGACTTTTGCCCTTCCATTTTATTTTTGGCCAATGAAACACAAATATCGAGATTAAAGCGTTTGCAGAATAAAGTAATGCGTTTGATTTTAAGATGTAATAGATTCACTTCCTCAACTTTTATGCTGGACGCTTTGCAATGGCTGTCAGTGAAGCAAAGAATTGTGTTTTTGACTATGGTGTTCATTTTTAAAGTAGTTAACGGTTTGCTGCCTCGATATTTGTGTGATCGGATTGAAAGAGGAAGTGATTTTCATAGATATAACACTAGAAACGCGGATGAAGTAAGAACACCACATCTTTTGAATAATGCTTCAAAAAATTCATTATTTTTCAAAGGTATAAATGTTTTCAATTCGATGCCTAGGCACATCAAGCGTGCAACTACACTTACAGAATTCAAGAGACGCTGCATTTCACATGTAAAAGCTGTTTATTGAGCAGTTAAATTTTTATGAATGGATAAATCATGTATCTTGACAAAGTTATCACTAACGGATTATTTTGTATGGAGACTGTCATAAAGACATTTTAGTAATTTGTGTAGCATATACAAAAAACTACATTGTTTGCCTCGATGGTGATGATGGATTTTTAGTTGTTTGATTTTGTAGTATTAATAGTAAAAATAGCTTTGAGTAGTCTACAATGGTTTGAGCCTCGCGCGCGGAATACAGGTATAAATGACTAATACGTGGAAATTGTGGCAAAAGCCTTGAATTAGTAAAGGGTTGGCTGGAAGTCGTTTCCTTGGATATAGTCCTGGCACTGCGGAAGCTTAAACGTGTAAATCCCAGGTCACGTGTAAATGGAAGTATTGTCGAGGACTATACTTGAACTTTTGATAACTAGTTACACCTTTGAATGTTTTTGGTTGATGCCTATAACATATTTAACAGGACATTTATATCTGTAATTGTAACCAGCTCGATTTTGTTTGCAAACCTGGTTAAAATGTTTATATTTAATTTTCTTAAAGATAACTCGTCCAGCTCAAACCTTTGTAGGGGTAAGAGGTGGGACCATCATCATCATCATCATCATCATCATCATCACTCTCCTTCTTCATCCGGATGATCGCGGTCGGGTCCCTTGTGCCCGAACCGTCTGTACCAGACGTGCTGGCAGTCTTTGTTGTGGTGGCTGCTGGCCGACAACACGACCTCCTCCGGTTGCTTCAGGTGGTACACTGCCGCTATTCGCATGTCCGTCCCATAGCGAAAATCAGTAAGCCGAGAAAATCACGTTTTAAGTTTACTTCGTACCATTGCTTCTTATGTGATGGGACAACTAATTTGACTGTATTTCCAAACTTTTTCAGAACAAAGTTGTTGAGTTCATCCAGTATTGTGAAAATATGCGTGATTATCTAGCATTTGCATTGAAAAACTCAGTTTTGACAAAAACAACTATGGGACCGACATGCGAAGAGCGGCAGTACAGCCCACGCTTCAACGTTGCCGCGGATACCGTCGTCCCGTCACGCAAGATTCGGCACCCACGGGCATGAAAAAACTTCGGCGTTCTTGTTCACTATTGCCGGCACCGACAACAAGTTCATGGCAAGACCGGGTGTGTAAAGCGCGACACTTATGTTCATTTTTCTCGGTAGTCCATTTCCATCACAACAGTCAATCGTGCCACACTCCTGACCTTCCACTTTCGCGAATTTTCCGTCGGCAAGTGTCACAGATATAATGTCACAACTTTTCAATTCACTGAAAAAACTCCGATCGGCAACTGTGTGGCTCGTCGCACCCAAGTCCACTACCCACGGCTTCGAACCGTTGGAACTTTAACACGCGCCGGTGACGAACGCGAACGAAACACAATCTTCCTTTTTCTTCTGTTGTTTTCCTTTCGGCTTCAGGTCGCCGTCCGAATCACGGGCACTCAAACTGCTTATGGCCCTCCTTTTTGCACCGGTGGCAAATTAGAGGTTTCTTCTTGTTGTTCCGACCGTGCACAGTTCCGACTTTCAGCACCAAATCTCCGGATGATCCTTGATGCATTACGGCCTCGTCCAGCAGCTTCCGTTTGACGAGTTCGACGTTGAGGTCGGTGTTAGACCGGCTCTCTAGGGCGGCCGTCAGCGTGTCGTAGGAACTCGGCAGATTTGTCTCCAATTCCTGTCCCGCATTCTTCAGCCTCTCGAACAAATCCTCCATGGCAAAGAGGTGCTCCGCCATATTTTCACCATCCGCGAAACGTTTATCGCAGATCTGCTTCAGAAGCGAAACTTTTGAGGTTAGGGTTGCTGTTTCGTGGTGCTTCTTTATCTCGTCCCATGCTTCCTTCGCTGTCTTGGCCTTACGGATCAGCCTGTGTTGGTTATCCGAGATCAGGAGGCCGATGGTGGACCGAGCCTTGGAGTCCAACGCGTTCCAGGCGTCGTCGGTTTTCCCTTGCTTCTTGACACCGGGGTCGACGCACCGCCACAAATCCTCTCGAGTGAGGAGCAATTCCACCTTAAATTTCCAGGTGGGATAATTGAAATCGTTCAATTGTTGGATGTTGAACCGATTGCCATCCATTTGCGCGAGAAAACCTTCGAAACTTAGCGAATAACCAAGGGGTTGGTCACTCTACACAGTGTGCCAAAATCAAACTGGGGCACACCCGGGTGCAGTCATTGACGTTGTTTGGCACCCATGGTTACAATTTTTATGATCTTCAAAGTTACTGGCAACACTGAACTTTTTCTGCGCCTGTGCAGTGTACATGTGTCAAAATTTGTTATTGACGTTGCCACTCCTAGTCAAATTATTTTCAAAACAACCGTGAGTCTCCACCAAGTCTCGCCATGGATTCTCAAAATCGTTACACCCGTGACGACAGTCGCATCCACATTTCCTCCCATACGAAGAACAGCTGCCAGCGGTATCTTGACCTAAGCGAGGTTTCTGGCCATGGCTACACGAACTAGCGATGCAGCTCCCACGGCTGCGGCTGCTTCCAGTGCTGCTGCTGGTCCGTCTTTTTTGACGAATTTTAGAGGAGACGGACCAGCAGAAGGAACGGCATCAGCAGCAACTAAAGCAGCAGCAGCATTGGAATCAGCCGCAGCCGTGCGAGCTGCATCGCTTATTTGTGTAGCCGTGGTCGACGCTGGAAATCTTGGCCGGTCACGACAAGCGGTGCTTGAGTTTTAATCGGAAAGTCAACAACCAAACAAAAATATACCATCCGACCATTCGAACTGCTCGAATACATCCATGGCGGTGGCTGCTACATCAACCATTCCATCGACCATCGTCCATCGTGTATCACCCCTATTCTGTATTTCGTTTCGAACGAAATTCTCATACAAAAAAATATTTTTTTGTATGAGAATTTCGTTCGAAACGAAATACAGAATAGGGGTGATAATGTTGGAGGACCGTCTTGGCAAAATCTCAAATAGTTCAACAAATTTTTACTCTCGTTCCTTTTTGTACTTCCAACTAACACCATAAGAAATTATAATTACGAATCATAACATTAACTACACAAAAAAAGGAAAATCCTTTCCT